CAGCAAATGGCATCCTGGAACAGAAATCAAAAACCTAAATTTAAAAGACTAGAGGAATCTGAGCTATTAGCAGAATCAGATGAAGAACAGGAAATTTCTAGAGAAGAAATAAAGTTGTCAGATGACAAATCTACTCCGAAAGAAGTATCAGACTTAAACTGGCAAAGAAAAGCAGTTAAAAGGCCAGATGGAACACGTACAGACATATATTATTATGTAGAGGGAACAGACACCCGTTTTAGATCCTATAATGATATTGAAAAGTATTGTGAGGCAAGAAATATTAAATTTGAAAAAGATAAGTTCGATTTTAGTGGAAAAAACGAATACTCGGGGAAAGTTAATTTTGTAGAACAGGAGACTAGCTCCGTGTCTGAAGAGGCAAATTCCGTAGAAATAGTTATCCCACAAAATTTTAAAGAAGCACGAAAATCAGTAAATGCCGAAGAATGGGATAAGGCAATGAAAGAAGAAATTGACACAATGAAGAAAAGAAAGGTTTGGGAATTAGTCGAAAAGCCAGAAAATAAAACTATAATAGGAAACAAATGGGTCTCTATATGCTAAAAAGAAATGAAAAGAATCAAGTGGTTAGATACAAAGCACGTTTAGTAGCACAGGGATTCAGGCAGAAAAGAGGTGAAGATTTTGATGACGTTTACAGTCCTGTAGTAAATTTTTCAATCATAAGAATATTTTTCACTATACTGGTATGTTTATATGGATGGACTAATTGTCAGTTAGATGTAAAGAACGCATATTTATATGCAAACCTAAATGAGAAAATATATATGACCCAACCAGAGGGATTTATCGAAGAGAAAATAAAGTGTGTTTATTACACAAGGCCATTTACGGTCTACATCAAAGCGGCCGTGAATGGTTTTGTGAATTTGAAAGTACTTTAGAAAATCTACATTTTAAGAAAATACAATGGTGTAATTGTGTTTATAAGGTTCAAATGTAATTCTCTTGTTATATGTAGATGATATTGTGTGATTTTTAGTAAAGATCAATATAGTATAGATATAAGTAATTTCACAGCTGAGTAAGTTTTTTTTTATCTTAAAGTATTAGGCAAAACTAAAACGTTACTTGGAATTGAATTCTTAGAGAATGAGAATGGGGTTTTTATACATCAGCAAAAATATATCGAAGAAAATTTTTGAAAAATTTAAACATTTCCAGATACCAATAACTTCACTTCCCATAGCTAAGGGCACTATTCTTACAAAATTAGATTGTCCATCTACAAGTGTAGAAATTGCGGAAATGCATACATTACCCTTTAGAAATCTGTTAGGATGTTTAGTTTTTGTAGGTAACAGGACAAGGCCTGATATTACATATGCAGTGAATATCTTATCACAATTTCAGGAGAATCCTGGAATTAGGCATTGGGAAGCATTGTTGAAATTGCTTGGTTATCTCAATAGTACTAAATTATATAAGTTAAACTTATCGAAGATTAAACATCTAAATTTATATTGTTCAGATGCTGATTATGCACGTAATAGAGATGACCATGGGAGGATTTATATTATATTTAGATGAAGTACCGGTAATCTGGAAAACTGTTAAACAAAAATGTGTAAGTTTATCAACCATGGAAGCGGTATATATCGCCTTATCTGAAGCAGCGAAGGAATTAATGTGGACGAAAAATGTCTTACAAGATGAAATTTTAAAGTTTAATTTAAGAGAGTGTAAACTATTTTGTGATAACAAGTCTGCCATTGATTTTTCTAGATCGCCAATAGAAAATCGCCGAACTAAGCACATAGACGTAAAATATCACTTTGTTAGAAGACTAGTAAATGATGGAGTGTTTGACCTTGAATTTATCACCAGTAAATTAAATACTGCCGACTTATTTACAAAAGCAGCGACTGCTGTTAATTTAAAAAGTTTTGTTTAGATGTTTTCAGTGTTTTAAAGACAATAAGTGTTTTCGTATAATAGAATTGAACTATGAACTTCTGTGAAAGTTTTGTTTTTTGTCTTTGCATGGGGAAAAGAGGGCCGTTTGTTGGCTTTAGTTTTTCCACATGCAAATTTTGATCGGAGGTCGATCGGCGGTAAGCTAACGTGGTTGCCGCTGATTGGCCGATGACGTCAAGATCGGCGGGTTGGCCGAGTATAATATATATGTACGCCGGTATCGGCGAATGTTCTTGTTCTCTTGTGTGATTATCAGTTAGCATTATGCTAGTTTGCTTTCAATCAAATGATTTTAAATGTAAAGGCTACAGTGTTAGCTCTTTTATTTTATTTACGGAATAAAGCATGAATTTTATTTAGTTTAGTCTTAGCTTTATTTAAGGAAAGCAAAATATGCTTTGCCTTTATCACCACTGCCAACAATTATGATTTAAAGGGTATCAAAATTTACAAAAAAAGAAGCTTAATTTTTATTTGTTTACTTTATTAAACATTTCTTTCAACGCGCGCATGCGTAAAGCATACCTTACGCATAGCCGAAATTAGAAAATTGCAACCAGAAAACTACTTGATTTGTATTCGTGATATTTATAATGACGAGGAATTTGATTTAAATCATATCAAAGACGGAGTACATCGACTTGAAATACTACATTTAGTAAGGAATTATAAGCCGAATAAAATAAAAACATCTGCCCTGAAGATAACGATAGTGCTGACAGATCAACTTCCAGGTCATTGCGCACCACGATGTTCCCCCACCCCGCGCAGAGCAGCGTGAAATTGATAAACAGATTTCGGAACCGTTAGATAAACAAAGGATATGCCTTTATCCATTTTTTGTAGCAATTCCACTTTTTGTTTGATGGACATCGAAACATACTTTCGTTTTGTAGATCCTTTGGGAGCTCCAGCATCGGAAATTCTTTTTGACATAATCGAAAGTTCAAGCTTACTTTTATAAAATTGCTGTTACAGTCTGCAAAAAATAATAAGCCGGATCCAATTCGAAGATTAAGGAACAACACAATCATCAACATTAAATGAAATAGATAATTTTAGCTTATACCGTCCGTTATACATTAAACGCGCACGCGAAAACGTATTCTGCGCTTGCGCAGACGCATATGCGCAGTCGTAAAGGTCTTGCGCGCACGCGTAAACGCCTATGCGCATACCTCAAGGCCTATGCGCATGCCTCAACGCGGCGCATGCGCAGAAAGATTTTAGCTTTGAGGTCCGGATTATAGATCATTCCGGATTATGGGTGTCCGAATTAACGACTTTTGACTGTATAAGATATTCCATAAAAATTAATTTAATTAAAACAGTTTTTTGTACTGTATTTTCAACTTATTGGATCACTTCAATTTTATATCCCGATAGATTTGTTTTGAGGCAAGGTGCCTATTCCTTTCCTGCCTGTGAGAGTTGGCTCAATTTGATTTAATTTGAATTATGTTGGTTTGTTTATCTATATATTTGTGCATTTGGCAGTTCAGAAAAAAGCTTTTTATTTTACTTTTCTTGCTATACCAACCCTTTGTGGATAATGTACTGGGAGATATAAAATCCATTCCTTTTTTAAAAAATTTATCTGTTGTGTTAATTTCGTATGAAATGAATTTTTTCCAAACATAGGTTTCTTTGGGTTTTGGAGCAGGTATTGTTTAATTTTTTTTACAATAGTTTTTGCTTTCACAAAATAAATTTTCTTTATTCCAATAATAATATAATTCGAATTTATTTTTATTTTTATTAATATTGACACTGATTTATTGCATCTTGTAGCACATAAATGTGTTCTGGTTTTAAACTTATTTTGCAGTTTGTTTAAATTTATTATTTTAATATATAAAAATGATATATAAAAAATTAATGAAGAATAGGAGAACTCCTAACATGTTAAGGAAACTTATGAAAGTTACTAATAAATAAGTGATATTGTTGCAATTGCACTTAATCATCATTATAAATTTCAGCAATGCTTTTATAGTAAACGAAAGTGAAGAAAGAAATTCTGGAGAAAATCAGGAATCATGGCATAAAATTTTTAAGTAGCAGGTATCCACCTGAAAGCCTTTTTGAGAGACAAATTATTTTCTGTTTTTTGCAATGTTTTTTCTTTCAGTAGTGGAAATGCGATATTGCATTAATATAATTAGTGTACTAAAAAATAGCATTTTAAAGAAGAATTCATTCAATTTCTTGAAAAACGCAGTAAATTAAAACAAAATAGAAACATAAAATGCAGTAACTTGCAAGTATCTCTTAAATAATTTTTTAAAGGACTTTTATTCATAACATAATTATGAAGCTGTAAAAGTGCACTTTTAATTATTGTTATTGTTGAATGGTGGATTTTCTGGCACATAACCTGAAAAGTTATGATGTGTCAAACATATGGTTTCATGGTACTATACTGCAGTTACTAAGATGTAGTTTTACCCTTTCAGCATTATGGACGGAAAATTTCGTATGAAAAAGTGGCTTTCATATTCATTATACGTGAAAATTTCTGCCAGTTTTTAATGAATTTCCGATTTTGGGTTGAATGTATTAGGAAGAAAAGTAATGAAGGTACAAAGCGAGAGAGGCATTTTTTAATTGTAATCAAGAAAATACCATTTATTCATGACAATTTAAAGAACTTTGAAATTTCAGGGCTAAACTCATAATGCTTGGAGGGTTAAAGATAAGAAGAAATTTCTTGCCAGACTGGTACATGTAGTTCTATCATCTTGCTCATTTTTAACCATTGAAGCAGAATTTAAACTGGAAGCCCAGGAACAGATATTAAATTATTGTGTATATGCATTTATCGTTGACCATTATTTGGAATTTACTTGAAAAGATAATGTGTTTTGCTGCTTTGATATTAAATTGTAGCTCAAGCGGTCAAATTATGAGTGTTTTACTGCTTTGATATTAAATTGTAGCTCAAGCAGTCAAATTATGAGCATTCTACCTGTCTCAAAATTTTCAAGGACTTTTTTTTTTTTTGCTGACATCGTTATTTTCTGTTAAATGTATATGTGCATCTAAGCATTCAATGATTTATATAAATGCATGTAAAATTATAATTTGAAACTTCATTTTAAAATAGAAATTCTATTTTAAAGCTCTTTAAACTGATTTATAATAAATTATTCATTAGCTCTCAAAATTAAATATTTTCTTAGCCGTGATTCGTAACTATGGAAACCTGCTTGTCGAAATGTCTGGTATTGTTCCTGATGGTATAGTCGGCTTTTTCACAAGTTACACGTACATGGAAGCGGTTGTGGCTACTTGGTATGAGCAGGTAAGTGTGTGAAGAGTAATTCTATTTTAAAAGAACTGATGTTTTTTTAAAGGTGATGCTTACTGATGTTTCATCTTTCATTTTAATTTGGTTTCCCTTTGTTTCCATTGATAAGATCTGACTGAATTCATATTTTTATTTCTAATATAAAGTATAATCATTTACTTGTTTATCAGGGCAATGCCAGGACAAAATCCACAGTTCACTTGGAATCACATAGGGCAGTTCAGAAAACATAGACGAGGTTAATAATTCATATTGTAAATGAGAGAAAAGTAATATGAAAAATTAACCTGTAATTTTTAAGTAGTTTAATCTGGTTTTTGAACTCAAGGGGTTTCAAACTCAACTTTAACCCAAAGGTGATAAATGAAATCAATAAATGAAATTATTATATCATTGTTCGAAACAAGATGAACACATTGGTGGTAATGGAGGAATAAATTATTAGAAATAAAGAAACTATATGAATAGCATTTAAGAATACTGTTTAAATGAGCATGTGAACAATGTCTTTGAATTGAAACTTTCATATAAGAGTCTGAAGTTTTTTTTAAATTGTAAAGTGTTAGTACATTTTGAATTATATACTATTAAATTATCTACTGCTGTGGATGAAAACAACTCCCAAATACCATGACATCATCTGCTATCGCTTTTTTATTATTCTATATATTTTCCTTTTTGTGTATTTTATTATATAGGTTTGTTTTATACTGATGATTTATGAAAATAATATTTTCGTTGTTTCACAATAAACAAATTTAACATATTTTGATGTATGGCTTGGTTAATCCATCTGCAGGTGTTTAATAGGGAGTGGACTGTTATTTCCAAATCAATATGCTTTGTATTTCTTATCCTATACTATTCTTTGTATTTGTTACAGAATTTTGCAGCCTATCTATCATATATAGTGCTCTATTTTCTATATAAGCAGTAGAGCCTTGACTATTTACATATGTAGCACCAGGATGTATATGTATAACTGATATGTTTGGACATCAAATTTTTGTGTTTAATAAATTACTACTTTAAGCAAACCATTTATTCTTGAACACCGTGTTATTTAGACAGAAATTTGTTTTTACCTTAAAAGTATTAGTTTTGAAATGCGATTTTACAATTCATTTTTCATTCAAGTTTCTTGCCATTTGGAAACAATGCAAGATATTTATCTTTCATATTTAGTCTGCCTACTATTGATAAATAAACTAAGTTGCTTAAAAGCAGCAAATGTAGTTCTTAAGAATATTATTTTTTTACTTTTGAATCTGATTTAGCTAAATAAAAATGCATTTAATAGATGATATAGTTAATTAAAAACCTTAAATATTTTTTTATAATTATGTGATTTTCCCCCCATTTTTCAAATATACACAAGATGCATAATGGTCCCATGTTAGTCTAATATATGAATATATAGTATATTAGTCTAGTCCCATGTTAGGCTAAATCTATATTCATCTGTTATCTTATAAATTGTTTTATTATTTTACCTGGGCCATCTCTAATGATAATATATGTTCATAAACCATATTAAAATTTAAAAAAAAACTCTTTGGGCAAATATTAAAATCTGAACCCTTTGAGATTTTTCATGTATTTATTTTGACTGTAAGTTATATTTTTCAACAAAAGAAAATGTGCATAATATGTGTAGCAGATAAATAATTGTTGATTTTCGAATATTGAAGTCTGCAATTGATGCCCTCATTTTTTTAAAGCAATCCTTTTTAATGCAAAGCACGTTCTTTTGTACTTAAATGGTGTAATTAAATTAATGCACTCAAAAAATAGTTTTTTTTTTTTTTTTTTTTTTTTTTTTTTTTGGTCCAGGCCTAAGGGATTCACACAAATATCTTATCTCCAGGTTTTTCGTGTAATTTTTTCTACCTCTTTAATGTAAAAGTATTGATTTAGCATAAATTTCTTGTATGCATGAAATTTAGAAGAAAAAATATGTGTAATTAATTTTCTGTTGTGCTTAAAATAAAATATTCTTTTATGTAGGAATATATTATTTATTAATGCATTGCGGTAAATTTCAGACTTGATTGTGTTTCATGTTGTTATTAAATAATGAATTATATTAACTGTAAAACTGAATATGAAATTGTCCATGTAAAAGTTCTGCATTGTTTTAAATAGTGTTTTTAAAACTTCATTCATTTTATTTTTAAAGGGAATTATTGATAATATTTTAAAGCGTAAGTTATTGTTTATGGAAACCCAAGACTCTGGTGAAACAAGCTTGGCTTTATTGAATTATGTGAAGGTAAATTACCCATTTAAATAAGATTTATATAGACCATTAATGTGTGTATGCAATTAAACATTACATATTTCATTATAATGTTTTTTTATTCATAATAATTAAAGAGAAATTTATATAATTTTCTTTTCTCAATGCATGCATTCTACTATAATTACAAATTAATTATGCAAAAAATTTTCTATATTTGAATGATTATTATATTTCATATGCTTTATATAATTGTTTTAATTTAGGCATGCGAAAATGGTAGAGGAGCAGTTCTTCTCTCTGTTGCTAGAGGAAAAGTCTCTGAAGGAGTGGATTTTGGTTAGAATTTTAAATTTATTTACATTTAGCTGTCTGTTTTTAAATTTGTTTAGACTCAATAAAATTATATTGGGCAAGAGTGAGAAAAATATTAATTTTGTTTTCAGACCATCATCTTGGGAGATGTGTTATAATGTTCGGCATTCCTTTTGTTTACACACAAAGCCGGATTTTAAAGGTAATTTTTTTTTTTGTTACATTAGTTACATACATGTGTTTTTGAATCAATTCTAATTTGTGAAATGGAGTTTTGATTGTAATGTAACAGAATGAGATGTATTTAAATGAAACAGAATTGAGCTAAAGAAATTCCAGTCATGTATGTTTTCTTGTATTCTGCGTATTTTGTTTTTCATTTTGTCTGTGTTCATGATGGGAAGTTTGTTTTAAGTAATGCAAGATTTTTAAAAGAATGATGGAATAAGGAATGTAAAATTTTGAAAATGCTTAATATAATTTACATACACATATAATACATATTATATGTCATATTATAATACATACACACACATATATATATGTTGGGAATGGCATCACTATGCCAATGAATCAAAGGTCAGATAGAGACTGACGTCATGGGACGCCAGAGAAAAACAAATAATTGCGGTTTAGATAGCTAAGAACAATGTTTGCACCATGTTAGCTTTCTTTCTAGCTAATATTCTAGAAACATGCTGATAGTAGCTAGATAAACATTTAACTTGTAGTTATGTGTAAATAAACCTTTTTTCCTTAAGTTTAAAATATTTAAAGTGCTCCATTTATGATAAGATAGCTGTTAATTCATCAGGTAGATGGCTTATGAATCCTTTCTGAGCTAGCCATTGTTCGAATGTAACGCATTACGTAACATAACATTTGTGGCGTCAAAACGGAGAGTGCGATAACAGCTAAAATAAATTGAAAATGGAGCTGACACAACTGAAAACTGAACGAAAATATCTAAGAACTTCCTTTACCACATGTGCAAACAAAATTGATGCAGAACTGAAATCAGATATTCACGATTTGAAACTACTTTCGATTCTGGAACTATAGCTTAAAGACAAGTTTAATCGACTTGAAATTTGCCAAAAGGAAGTAATGTTGATAATTCTACAATCTAAAGAAGCTGAAAAGCTATATGAAGAAGATTTTATTTGGTCTGAGCTTTATAGAGATAAATATTTTGAACTGTGTTCTCAAATCGAAAAGCTGTTGAAGAATCCTTTACCTACTGAATTACCAGAGAAGGGCAAATTTAAATTGCCGAAGATCGAACTAAAGAAATTCAATGGCGAAGCAAAAGAATTTTTGACGTTTTGGAGCTAGATTTCGAAAATCCACGAAGATCCGACAATTCCAGATGAAGATAAATTCCAGTACCTTCTGCAAGCAGTTGTTCCTTAATCCAGGAGCCACACGGGTGGTGGAGAGCTTTCCGGAATTATCCTAGAGCAATCACCCAGCTTCAAAAGAGGTTTGGAAGAGAAGACTTACTTGTACAGATATATGTAAGAGATCTTTTAAGCATGGTTATGCGTAATGTAAGCACGTGCGTAATGTAAGCACGTAAGGACGTGTGAAGACGGATCTTCCTACTCTCTATGATGATTTAGAAACCAAGATTAGAGCTTTAGAAAGTCTTGGAGGAACGCAAAAGAAGTATGGTGATTTCTTAACGCCTTTAGCTGAATCCTGCCGGCCCGAAGAAGTATTAATTGCTTGGGAGAGAAAGAGAGATTTAAAAGAATCACCTCAGCTTGATAACAGTGATGACCATTTGATTGAAAATTTGATAAATTTTCTGAAACAAGAGGTGAAAGGAGAAAAAATGGTCGTGTTAGCCCGCACAGGGTTTGGTTCTAATCATATTAAGAAAAAGGATACACTAAATAAAAATGTAGAATCCGCTATCGCATTTGCGCTAGTAAGTACGTCAAATTCCGAGAGCCCAGGTAAGCGCAATTTTAACTGTCTCCATACCTGCCAACTTTTACGAAATTTTCGTAATTTTTATGAAAATGCGTTTGTCTTTACGATTTTACGATTGTAATCCATTTTTTACGATTTTTTTCCCTTTTTCAAGTGTTTTTAGTGATTTCTGTCAAAATTTTAGAATTTTTCGCCAATTGCATCATGTTTTACCGCCAACTAACGACTACTTTGAATCCAGTAACCTGCGGTTTCTCCCAACTTGCCCCTTAACCAGCCAATCCAATGTGCTGAACTTGTTTCTCCCACTCTTTTCTTTGTGGGCGCCAGATTATTTTTTAGCGTAGATTGTCGCATTCTGTTTTTTTTTTTTTTTTTTTTTTCCCACGTGCTACGAATTTTCTTAATACATCGTTGTTACAAAATGAGTTAAAAAAAAACCATATTCTCAATATTTTCGGCCTGCCTACACATTCTCTTTTTTTTTTTTTTTCCCACGTGCTACGAAATTTTTTAATACATCGTTGTTACGAAATGAGTTAAAAAAAAACCGTATTCTCAATATTTTCGGCCTGCCTACAAAGCCAAATTTCCAACAATTAAAGAATCCTTCAAAGGAAATAACTATGCATTTTGCAACGTGTGCGTGTGTGACCGTGACATAATAAGTCACGCTGGAAGAAGCGACATTCTGAAGCATGTTACGCCTAAAAAGCATGAAGTTAATGCTTCGGCTTCGACAACGTCAAAGAAAGTGGATGATTTTTTTTCAAATTCGGATGCCGATGTCATTTTGGCAGAGTGTTTGTTTACTTCATTCCTCATTGAACACAACGTGCCGCTAAGCGTTGCCGACCACGCCGGTCAACTTTTCAGACGGATGTTTCCCGACTCCAAGATTGCTCAGAAATATGCTTGTGCTCGCACGAAAATATCTTCTATTGTGAACGAAATTGCTTGCGATGCACAAAGTAAAACGATAGCTGCACTCCAGAATTCAGCATTTTCGGTGTCAATCGATGGCAGCAACGACAGCGATTGGAAGCTTTACCCCATCGTTGTCACATATTTCTGTAATGTTTCTAATGAAATGAAAACTCATCCGTGGTAATTAATGAGTTGAAACAACTTAACATCCCAATATCAAACTGCATTTCATTTGGTGCAGATAATGCTCATGTCATGGTGAGTGACAAAAAGGGTGTAGCCTCTTTCCTCAAAAAAGAGCAAAATGAATTAATTGTTATTGGATGCCCATGCCACTTAATTAATTTGGCAGCAGAAAAAGCTGCAGCTGCTTTACCATTAAATATTGACCAGCTTCTGATTGATGTGTTTTTCTATCTGGAAAAAAGTGTAGAAAGGAAAGAAAACCTAAAGAATTTCCAAGAACTGTGCTCTGGTGAAACGAGAAAAATTCTGAAACATGTATGCACGAGATGGTTATCCTTAGGCAGAGTGCTAGGAAGGTTTATTGAACAGTGGGATGCATTGCTAAAATATTTCCACGAAGAGACCAAAACGAAACCACAGATCCCATCAAATTTGTCGGCATATAAGATTCCGAAAACCAACTTTGCTTCTAATCAAAATGCTTTAAAAGGGAAAAGCCTACACACAGAATCAAACCCTTTAAAAAGAAAATGCTTAGAAGACTCCTCAAAGGTCAACTTTGTTAAAGAAGTTGAAGGGAAGAAGAAACAGTCTTCTATTAGCCGGGAGGAAAGGATTTTCTATCTTCTTTCTTCGGATTTGAACAAAGCATATTGTAGTTTGTGTTAAGTACCATTAAGATTTTTGAAAGTGTAAATACCCTTCTACAATCAGCTTCGCCAAAATCTCCCCTGCTGTATCCAAATTCTTAATGATCTTTTGAAAGAACTTTTAACTAAGTTTGTAAAGCCGTCCGTTGTGAAAAACAGTGTGTTGATTTTATATTGCCTATAATAGTTTGGCAAATCAAACGGATGACAATGATCTTATAATTGGAAATCAAACCAGGGAACCTGTAAATTCTTTGAAAGATCATGAGAAAAAAGAATTTTTTCAATGTGTTTAGAAAGTACTTTTCCTCAGCCTGTGATTACATTGTAAGGAAGTTTCCTTTGCAAAATGAAGTTCTTTTAAATGCTGAAGTGGCAAATTTGAAAACAAATTGAAAATTCATCTTTTGAAAAGGTTCGTTTTTTTATTGATAAATTTCCATTTTTGTTAACAATTAAAGAAAATGAATGCCATAATGATGCTTTAGAGGAACTACAGAACCAATTTTTTGCTGCACAGTTTGAAGACTTTGCCAGTTCTGGAGAAGATAGACTTGATGTCCTTGTTGGTACCTTAAAAAGAATAAAAAGAGCTGATGGAACACCAAAATATGATAGACTAGCAAGAGTTTTATGTGCTATTCTCGTAATTCCGCACAGTAATGCCGAGTGCGAGAGAGTCTTCAGTATTGTGAAGAAAAACAAAACTATGTTTCGTTTTACAATTTCACCAAAAACTCTAGAAAACATTTTAATTGCTAAATGTTATGAGGAAACTAATTGTTATGACAGGAAATTTTCCAAAGAATTTTTGGCTAAAGCCAAAAAATGCACTCTAAATTCATTGCAATAATTTTTTTGTGTAACATTAAGTTCTTGTTTTATGTTCCCTAATAAATTTTTTAGTTACTATTTAATTGAGATTTACTAATGTAAGTACAATTTTCTTTTTTCTATTTGTATAAATTTTAATTTTTTTAATATCACAGCATGATATTAATTCTTCGTGTTCTTCTGAATTTTGGAGAAATCTTCTGAATTTGGGGGAGAAATCTTCTGAATTTTTATCTTTAGAGGTTGGCAGGTATGTGTCTCTTTTGTGAAAAACGACACCTAACTTAAGAATGTTTTTCTATTTGAAATATGACATTAGAAGCTAAGAAAAATATTTTAATTAAAAAAGGTGCCTGTTTTGGTTGTTTCAGATTGGGACACACTTGTAAAACATGTTGAGTAAAAAATTCTTGCATGTACTGTAATAAAAATCACCATTCTTTAATGTGTCCCAATTGCCAAGAAAAAAGCGCAAATGAAAAGTCTAGAAGTGACGTAACTGAAACCAGTACATTAACTAATAACTGTAGAATAGAAATTGTTTATTTAATGACTCTAGTAGTTAAAATTAAATTTAAGAATGTTGAGCTTAAAGTATGCACATTACTGGATACAGGTTCTCAGCATTAGTATGTCAGTAAAAAATTAGTAGAGAATTTAAATTTAATTCTCTACTAATTTTAAATTAAATTCATGCATTCATTATTCAGGGGAAGAGAAACGCGAAC